TGTGTGGGGTGCCACCAGTGTTTGTGATGGAAACTCATACCTGATGGAGCTTTCTTGTTTCATGCTGGCACAGAGCCTCAGAAAGTAAGCAGGTTCTTTCTTTTGAGTTGAATTTCTAAGGCAGGAAAAAGAGAACAGAGGGTCTCCAATTAGGCCCAGCATCTTACCTCTCCATTAGACTCTCAGCATGTGACACATATACCTCTCTATTAGATTCTCAGCATGTGACGCGTAACCCGATGCACAGGTGCCCCGGTGATCTTGCAGTTCATATGTTAAATGAGACCCACTGAGGAGCCTGAGCAACAGCTCCCAGCCCCCTGCAGGCTGGCTGTTTGTATGTAGATCCTTTCCTTGGCCCTCCTCTCTTCTGTCACTTCCTAGATGCACCTGCTTGCTTGAATGTCCCATAGGACAGTCTCACTGTCCCTGACCAGGGCAAAGGTTCCCTCGGGTTCCCCTGGAAGACCCTGTTAAGCAACTGCTTGCCTACTGCCCCAGGTCCTGCTCCATCTGGTCACCTGAATTCTGCAGTCGTTGATGGAACAAGAGTCAGGAAAATCCCACCCTCCTGAACCGTTCAGGTTCGTTGGTATTGTTTGTTCATATCAGTTATGGGGCTTGAACTCAGGGCCTGGGTGTGTCTCTGAGTTTTTCTACTCAAGACCAATGCTCTACCTCTGAGCCACAGCTCCACTTCCAATTTTCTGGTGGTTCATTGGAGATAAGAGTCTCTCAAAGTTTGCTGCCCACACTGGCATCGAATCTCGATCCTCATCTCTCAGCCTCCTACGTAACTAGGATTATTAGAGATGTGAGCCACCCAGTGCCCAGCTTTTTTGTTTCTCTTAATACCATTTTACTGATTCCACGTTTGAGTTTGGTTTTGACCAGGCGAAGTGGTTCCTTCAGTGTGAGTCTTCCAAGAATCTTTGGGGATGATCAGCCTGCTAAAGGGCACCACCGCCCAACGAGCAGGGAGAGTGGGTGGCTTTGGGCACCGGGCCCAGCTCATGGCTCCTCTTCTCTCCATACTGCACAGGAGTCAATGTCCCCGCAGGATTCTTCCTCCCACTCAGTCAGGGAGGCCCTGTGTGCATCCACAGTGCCGATCCTTCCCTCCTCATTACTTAGGTTAATAACGGCCCAGAACGTGGCTAGTACAGCCTGCTAATTTTAGAAGAAACTAATTGAAGCCTTTCAGATACGATCTAGGTAATGAGGAAGGCCGTGTGCCAGCTTCAGGCAAAGACAGATGGTTTCCAGCCCAGCCGACATTGTTTCTGTAACCAGCGGCACACAGAAAATCTAGGCCTTTGCTCAGTTGTCAGGTTTAGTCAGTAGGGGTTTATTTTTATTTTATTTTTTTCCTCCACTACTGGAGATTGAACTAGTTCAATCTAGGCAAGAGCTCTACCACCCGAGCTATGTACAACCCAGTCCTTTTTGATTTTAGTTAGTTAGTTTGTTTTTTTCCAGCCAGGGTCTCATGATTTTTGCCTTGGCTGGCCTTAGACTGCAATCCTACCTCTGCCATTTCAAGTAGGTGCAATTGCAGGCATATGCCACCCAGCATATGTATAGTTTCCTTCATATTTTTACTGAAGCTTGTCTAGATCAGAATTTACCAATTGGCTTTACCATTGAGCTGCTTTTCCAGCAGTGATTTCATCTCTGAAGACTTGCTGGTGTTCTTTGAATCTGTGATAATAATTCTCTTTGGAGTGGTGTGTAGGGTTTACACTTCTGGGAACTTGGTGTATCTACATGCCCCGCCCCCAGCACAGCCAAATCTGCTCTTCAGTCTCCTAGACAGGCTAGGAGCAAGACCTTACATCCTCAAATGTACAATAGAGATAACCACTATGAATATAGTTCCAGAACCCTTTTCTTTGCAGCTTTTAGAGGGCAGAGCTGCCCACTCATGAAAGTACATAATGAATCTTGAACTGATAACCTAATAGATCTTGAAGCTGCCTACTCAAGAAATAATGAATGTTGACTAGTAACCTAATTATTTTGGGTAGATTAGCTCCTACCAAAATCTACCCAGATTAGAATCACATTGGAATGATTTTAATAGAACCTGTCTTTGTTAATCAAAGTGATTTTTTTAAATCCCCAAAGGATTATTGAAATAAGAGTATAGAATGAAATTATAGCACAAATTTCGAAGTACAAACCAGTTCTTAGGGAAACATGTTTTAATGTTCCCTGTCCATCCTTAATAGCTAGCAGGTTTTAGAACTAGACAAATTTAGCATAATAATTAAACATCAAACTATGTTCAGACCATGCGGATATTATAAGAAAATATATACTTTGTCATTAAAATGATGGTAGTAGGGTCTGGGAAGGTGGCTCAGTGGTAGAGCACTTGCCTTGCATGCATGAGGCCCTGGGTTCGATTCCTCAGCACCACATAAAAAAAAGCCGGAAGTGACACTGTGGCTCAAGCGGTAGAGCGCTAGCCTTGAGCTGAAGAGCTGAGGGACAGCGCCCAGGTCCAGAGTTCAGGCCCCACGACCGGACCCCCCAAAAAAATGATGGTAGTATTCATGATGAGATGACTAAGAATTAAAATAATCTTGCTGTATTTTTTGGTACTTTGGCCTTGAAGTAACATACAGTTCTCTCATGGTAAGCCTGTACTTTATTATAATAGGTCTGTAAGATATCAATATTTATTATTTTTATATACAGTATGTTAAATTTGTAGTAGCATGAAAAAAATAGAAGTGGGCCCCTTGCATACTCTCTTTTAGTATGCATAAAGGCTGTTTTCTATAGAAATAATATTAATTCTGGACATCAGTTTTGAATTTTTTTAACTTTTTTTTTAAAGAATTCACCATATTGGAAAATATGGACCAATTAGAAAGTGTCATCCAATCCTTAATTGAAGCAAACATCTCATGCACAGGACACTGTATTAATTGCTTTTATAATATGTCTTGTCTGCTTATTTGTTTTTTTTTTTTTGGTTAGGATGTTTCACTTAGCAGTTTCACAATTGGTCTGTTAAGTCCAAGTGATAAAAAAAACTTTATCCAAAGTACACAGTGAAAATGTCCAGTTGTTAACTTTGGGGCACAGATTCGTGGCATGTCTTCCAAGGATTCATGACTTTCGTTCTTAAGCCTAGGCCTGCATCTGCCTCCATATTGTGACTGCACTCAGCACCTCCAAGACTAGGTGGTCCTGTGGACCAGCTGCTCAGGCAGGGCTGACAGGTACTGAGTGCCTCCAGTGTGGGAGGTACAGGTGGCTGCTGAGCAGCCCAGGGCTTCCCACCCCAGAGGGATTTGCATCCAGGACAGGACCTACCCAAAACCACTACACAGTCATTGTCCAGTGTGTATGTGCTGAGATGAAGAAAGGATGTACAGAGCCAGGACCCCTCTTGGAAGTTGCCCTAGCCAGCAGGTGGTTTTCCTGAGGAAATGACCTTTAACGGAGTCACAGCTGAGCAGGCAGGAAGGAGCCTGTGTGTTTCCCTGTGGCCCTAACAAGGGAACACAAACTCGGTGACTTATTCTCCACCAACCCTGAAAGGGCAGAAGTTGGGGAGCTAAGGTCCAGAGGAGAGGCATTTGTTGTCCTAGAGCTGGATTTCTTGCAGGCTCCCCGGCCTCTCTTCCATCCTGAGGGCTGGCACACAGCATCTTGCTCTTGTGCCTAGTCACCTGCCTGATGCCTTGCCTTCCAGTGATGGCATTCAGGTCCTACATGGACAATCTAGGATACCCCTCTCCTACCTACGATCATTAAATGTATCGCCATATAAAAGAATTCACAGGTTGTGTATTAGCTGTCCTGCAGCCCTCCAAGGATTCCATGTACAGGCTTTGTGGGTACTCAGAGTAGCTAGTGGAAGGTTTTGAGCCTAGGCAGGCACTTTTTTCCCCCTGATATCAGGGTTTGAACTGATGACCTCATACTTGATAGGCAGATGCTCTTGCCCCTGAGCCCCACCTGCTCTCGATCATTATTGATTGAGACTTGTCTCCGCCTGCGGCATGTATCTCCTTGGGTGCCATTTGCCTGTGTTCAGCTTCCCATTGTCGCTAGGAGAGCAGGATTGCTCAACCGTGTGCAGCTTGCCGTTGTGGAGAGAGTGAAGGATCCCTTAACTTTTCTGTGCATGCTGGCTTTGAACTTTGATCCTCTTGTTCTCAGCCTTCCTTCCATGTAGCCAGAATTACAAGCATGAGCCACTGGTGCCCAGCCAGCTTTGCTTCTTACTGACCGATCTGTTCTGTGTGGATTGAGTAGATGCTAAGAGCTGAGCTCGAGGCCTCTGCAGAGTCCTGAGGAGACGAACGGGGCCCAGGGTGGACCCATGAGTGGTAAGGTGGTAGGTAGATTTCTCTGTTGGCTTGCCTACCTCAGTCCAGGCCCTCATGGAGGACGGACAGGACATTGATGAGGTGTGGTACCTGCGGGTCAGCCAGGTTCGTCCTGATGCGTTCGTTGAAGAAGCTCCTGTTGGTCTGATAGAGGTACCCCGCTCAGGATGAAAACATCCATGGATAAATTGAAGATGAGTAAACTCTTGGTGGCATCAGAAAAGCAGAAAGCTCTTTATAAGAAGTCAACATTGCCCTAGGATCTAAGTTTGCACTGGCCCAATGTTATTCCCCGGGGACTGTGCCTAAGTTTCAGTGAGGACAGGGGACCGTGGGCTGCCCTGTGTGACCGCCCACCTTTATGATCACCATGGGGGTGCCTAGGAGAAGGGCAGCGGGCCCCATGGCGGGTAATTGTAGCAGTCATGGGGCCATTCCAATTCTCAGCAGCGTCCTGGCAGGCCTGCCCACTGCTCTCTGTTCATGCTCTGTGCACTCAGGCTTGGTGGCAGGACTCGCTGCAGCCTGTGGAGGGGGGGTGGCGGAGGGGTTGGGTGGGGGAGTGGAGGGGAGGCTCTGGGCCAGTGCCTGGCCAGCATAGGTCAGATTCCAGGGCCTGGTTGGAATGCTTATCTCCTTATCTATGAGCAGACATGTGACCGGATCAAACAGTCGGCCAGCGGGACCAAGCGCCGTGTGTTCATCATCGAGACCATGGGGGGCTTCTGCGGCTACCTGGCCAACATGGGGGGCCTGGCAGCTGGAGCTGACGCCGCCTACATCTACGAGGAACCCTTCGACATCCGAGACCTGCAGGTGTGTCACGGGGTTGGTCCCTGCTCGCCTTGGACTCTGTTCAACCTGGCCAAATGAGTAATGGTATTTTATGTCAGCCTGGTATTATTAAACCCTGCAAGTTGAAGCCAGGTGCTGGTGGCTTACCTGTAGTCCTAGCAACTCAGGGGTCTGACGTCTGAGGAATGCACTTTGAAGCCAAGCCCGGGCTGGAAAGTCTATGAGACTTTTAACTTCAGTTAACTACAGACCAGAAGTGGTACTGTGGCTCAAAGTGGTAGAGCATTAGCCTTGAGCAAAAGAGGCTCAGGGACAGCACCCAGGGGCTGAGTTTGAAGCCTCGGGAGTGGCACAATGCAAGTTGAGTGCTCTTTAGGCAGCACCTTGTTCAACTCGAGTGCCTGAGTATCAGGAGCTCTTTGGTGGGTGACTGAGTGGCTAGGTGTGTGAAAACAGATTGCACATAAATGATTGCCTCTATTCAATGGATCAGAAGGCGTCTGGTGGTGGTACTTATTTTGTGGGATCTGATACTTTAAGTATCCATCTTCTGTCAGGTCTTTTCAAATATGACTGACCGCTGTCTGTAACCTCTGCAGTCCTGGTGGATCGGAGGGTGGGCAGTTTTGTCAGGGCTGAGGGAATGTTGTTTCCCAGGCCTGTGGCCTCCTCACAAGAAGCCCTCTGTTGTCCACTGCGAGAGACTAAATTGTGTTAGGCAAAGCTTTAAAGTGCCCACTGGGGTGGCTAGGATGGAGGCCATAGATGGCAAACTCTGTCTGAGATTGTATAGAAAGTCAGGAAGCAGATATATCTGAGAGCTTTAAGAAAATATGTTATGAAATAGACAATGTGCAAGATTTGGACAAACATGGAATAACAGAAACATCCAATTTATTCTAGGAAGTTTTTTTGGGGGGAAGTTGAGTTCCATTGACAATAGTCCCATGTATTACAACAGTTTCCTATTGTTATGTTTGCATTTAGCGTCATCTGATAGTGTGTCTTGTCCTCTCAGAGTAAGGTATACAAGTGGCTGGCTTTCCCTAGTGCTCGCAGCCTCACAGTTTGTGGCACACAGTAGGTACGGCACATAGTAGGTCCTTATGAGTTTATGTTTCATCAGTTAACACGACATTTCTTTTTCTAGTCCAACGTGGAGCACCTGACAGAGAAAATGAAGACCACTATCCAGAGGGGTCTTGTGCTCAGGTACAGGAAATACTTCCAGTCTTCCATTTTAAACCTAGGTTCTTGACCTAATCTATCATTTCTATCCAGAAGGAGCCAGCAAAGTTCCTTTGTTACTGGCTTTTAGTCTGGATACTGGGGAATCTGGTGCCTGGCATACTACTTGTTTAATTACGCCCCTTCTTTATGAGGGATCATAGGACAGAAACTGAATTGTTAAAAACACACCTGCATTTAAATAAAAGATATATATGTATACACACATACACATATATTATTGCTTTGTAGTCTGTTTTTACCACCAGGATGTCTACATTTTTGTTCCGTTTTTGCTTTTGGTGCTGGTACTTGAGGCTTGAACTCAGGCCCAAATGGCTTTTTCACTCAATACTGGCATTCGGCCTTTGACTTTTTGCTGGTTAGTTGGAGATAAGAGTCTTGTGGACATTCTTGCCCTGACTGGCTTCAAACTTCAGTCCTCAGACTTCAGCCTCCTGAGTAACTAGGATTGTGAGCTCTGGTGCCTGGCATACTACTTGTTTAATTACGCCCCTTCTTTATGGAGAGAGGAGAAAATTATGAATAGGGTTGTGTAGAAATTAAGGGTCCACCAGGCCAGCCAGAGGTGTGGCTGTGCACTCCGGGGCCCTCCACAGGCGGTTCAAGGTACAGCATGACCCCACACAGCTCCACGCCCATCACTTGGTGACTAAGGCCAGCTGTGCTGCATTTGTTTCAGAAACGAAAGCTGCAATGTAAATTATACCACGGACTTCATCTACCAGCTGTACTCAGAAGAAGGCAAAGGAGTGTTCGACTGCAGGAAGAATGTGCTGGGTCACATGCAGCAGGTGGGGCCCATCTCCAGACCCCTCTTACACGGCTGTACTTTGAGCCGTCTTGGGAGGGGAAGAGCACCCATCTCTAGTTAATTAAGAACATCGGAGTTTTAAATCACGCTAGCTTTTAGGACAAAAGAAGCTTTAGGATTCTTTCAGTTGTGTTGGGTGAATGGTGATTGTTCAGGTAAAAGCCTACCAACTTGCATTTAACTGGGAGACTGTTTCATTAGAAATGGCTACTCAAATGAAATACTCTGTTCAAGTACAGATGGAGCTTTCTTAAGATTTAATGTGGAGTCTCAGACCACTGGTACTTACACATAATGAGAATGGCTTGGAATTGCCTTTTGTGACTGTAAGTTCGTTCCAAATGATGCAGCTGCAGCTCAGGTATATAGTAGGACAAGCCAGTTAGTTACATACTCCCAAACCATGCATTGTGCTTCAGTGAGCTTAAAACAAGGGTCTGTCCATTTATTTTCGATTCACAAATGCCTTAAAGTTATATGATCGAATTAGTAGTCGGCATATGTACACTTTCAGGGTTCAGCTTATCACATGCTTCTAGGAAATGGCGAAACATTCCATCTCAGAACAAGTTGCACAAACTTCATTTGTTTATTAAACTTGCAAATCTCTCAACAATGAAGCCGACTTGTCCCACTCACAGAAATCTTCATCTTAGAAGAGATGTGACCCGCCCCCCTTTTTTTCCTTGGTCCTAACATTATAGAAGCTAGGAATGTACAAAACCAAATCATGTTTTCATCTCTTAAAAAAAGTCCAAGGATCTTGTAAGATGGTGGATGTAAGGTCCATTCCTGGATGGCAAGCAGACTCCACCCTCCTCACAGCAAAGTCTCTACCCAGTACCTGCAGTACCTAGGCAACTGGGACACCTGGAAGAGGTCACATCTGCATCTGCTGGGGTCTGAATTTGATGTGGCCACACCTTTCTCCGCCTATACCCTAGATAAGGCCTAGCCCAGTCCCAGACGCCCTCTCTCTGCTCTCTCTCTGCTCTCTCTGCTCTTTTCTAGCTCTCAGCTTTTTCCTTCTCTTCTCTTGCCCAGCTCCCTTCTCTTTTCTAGCTCTCTCTCTGCTCTTTTCTAGCTCTCTCTGCTCTTGTCTAGCTCTTTTCTAGTTCTTTCCTCTCTCTTTCCTCTCTTTCCCAGCTCTCTCTCTTCCCCAGGCCTTTCCCAGCCGCGTAGAGGGCCAACCTTGCCTGGTCCCAGCAGGTCTACTGAATAAACCTACCCCTTACCTGAATACCACGTGCGTGCTGCTGTTCTTACTCGGCTACCTCTTTTTAAAAACCTAACAGTGGAATTTTTTATTTGCTCAATAAAATGCAGAAAGTTGTGTAACTAATAGTTCCTGTCACTTCACCAACAGGGCGGATCGCCTTCTCCATTTGATAGAAACTTTGGAACCAAAATCTCTGCCAGAGCAATGGAGTGGATCACTGTGAAATTGAAGGAGTCCGCGGGCAAAGGTGAGCAAACAGAGGAGCAGCACCAAGGCTCAGGCTGCTACCTTGGAAGGATCGTTGGTGATGGGAAGGAAGTAGGCCCTTTTCCCGTTCCATCTTCCCATTAAACTGCCTGTGGTAAATCATATTCCTGCTAGTCCCCTGAGTATAGCAATATAATTAGGTTTAATGAACGAAATAGGATGTTTTATTCCTGCTTTTAGTGGTGGTGGTCATATAGTTTAGTAGCATTCTGATGGGACAGATGGCTGGACTCTGTTAGCAGCACCATAAAGCATGAGGTTTATGGAACAACTGACTTTTATTTAAGCTGTTTTAAGACTTACCTGTTGATTCATATTTTTTTTGAGATGGGGGAGAGAGAAAGCAAGGGACAGCAGGGGACCCCAACATAAATGAACTAGGAAACAAGAGTTTTCCTTCTTTTCAAAACCCAAATTTGTTCTCCATTATTGTACACCCTCCCCACCAGAAGTAACCTCAGAATTTTGAGATAATCTTTACCTTGAGTTCTTTCAGAATTGTATTATGCTGGAATATGTCTTCAAAACCAGTGAGGGGACTTAGCTTGACTTTATATACAATATTGAACTTTCTAATTCATGAATGCATGTTGCCTCTCTCTCCATGGAGTTAAGTCCTTGGTTGCCTATGTCAAAGCATTGTTTTTCTCCATAAAAAAAATCACTTTTATTTTGGTGGGTTTGTTCCTATTTTAAAGGTATATTAAGTAATATTTAATATTTTTATAGCTAGTGTATAGAAATACAAAAATGATATTTTAGCCATCAACAACTTTTGTATATTCTGAAGGCTAATTATTATTTATGGGTTTATGTTTGCATATGAATCTTTGTGTGTTATCACCAGCTATTCACTCCAATAAACTGAATATAGGCCATGGCAGCATTCTTGCCCTTATCTCAATCAATGCTCAGTGTTAACAGGTCAAGAATTCTTTTTTTTTGTCTTGTTTTTTATTTTTTTGGCCAGTCATGGGGCTTGAACTTTGGGTTTGGGCGCTATCCCTCAGCGTTTCAGCTCAAGGCTAGTGCTCTACTGCTTGAGCCACAGCACCACTTCTGGTTTTCTAGTGGTTTATTGGAGATAAGAGTCTCACGGACTTTTCCTGCCTGGGCTGGTTTTGGACTGTGATCCTCAGATCTCAGCCTCCTGAATAGCTAGGATGACAGGTGTGAGCCACCGGCACCGAGCCAGGCCAAGAATTCATAATCGTAATGAAGTATCTCTGTAACTCAACATTTGTTGTCAATATGATTCATCACTTGCTAAATAGATTTTCCATTATTAAAAGTTAGTGTACTTTATAAAGTTCTTATACCAAACCATATAATCAGTTAATAAGCTAAATAACTGAAGCAATATATTTATATTTCTATGCTATTGTTAATATGTTGGCATGTTGATATGCTAATTACTGACTTTCAGTGTTAAGAACAACCTTTAATTTCATGGTTACAGTATATTCTTTATTTACTGCTGGATTAAATTTGTAGCTGTTTTCTATAGTCACTGTGTTTTAATGATTGTGAATATTTGCCAGCATCTTCCCTCTAGTTCGGTCGCTGTCAGGCAGTTGGTTAGTTTGATATTGGGGGCTCTGGGTAGGCTTTCTGTGTTTTTTGCCTTTTAAAAACAAATTTGGCCGCATCTCCTGGTGAAGTTGCCCATCAGACCTTTCAGTTTTCTTTGTGGGAAGATTTGTTTACTAAGTAGATTTGTATCACGTTTATAAAGTTACACTTTGTAGGAAACTGAACTCATTGAAATATTCATAACCCCTGACGTAAAACCTTTCATAGTCTTGTTAGAAAGCCTGGTACATTTCTGGTTGCTGTTCACTCCATTATTGGCTGTTTATACCTGCTTTTGTATCTCATGTCCTCCTTTTTTTAGATTTCTTTTCAGTCTATGAATGCTTATCTTTGAGTGTTGGCCATTTCCTTGCTAGAGGGTTCAGGAAGCCTGAATTCCCCACCACTGTTAAGAAAGCTGCTTTCCAGGAATCGCATCCTTGCGGTGGCCTTTGTACTGAGGTGCTAGGTGACTGGCTCCTCTCCAGGAGTGTGAAAGAGGCCCATCCCTTTATGGGCCTCTCTCCTCCCAGTCCTGGAGGGTCTACGAGGATGCTCTGTGGAGCCAGCAGAGCTGTGCTAGGGAGACTAGGAAGGACCATGGTCACAGTACAGTGTGTGTCCCCAGTGGCTATAGAGCTGTCTCCAGTGTAAACCATGCCAACGCTTCTGAGCTCCACCCTGAGCGCTGAGGACTCTCAATTCTTACCTCACCCTGTCACTTTGCACCCTGAAGTCAGCATACTTCTCTTTCTCTCGTGGTTCCTTACTTCCTAGACCATTTCATCTGCCCACTCAATGGAAGACTTCATGGTTCTTAGGACTTTCTTTTGTTCCTGTTTTGCAGGAAAGAAATTCACTAGTGACGATTCCATTTGTGTGCTGGGAATATGTAAAAGAAACCTTGTCTTCCAGCCTGTGGCCGAGCTGCGGCAGAAGACAGATTTTGAGTAAGTCCATGAGATGCTGCACGTGCAAATCTCATTGCCATTAAAGGGAAAGAATGCTAGGAGTTGTGGGTTCAGTTACTGTAGGTAGTACTGTAGTCACCTGTTTTTAGGAATATATTAACTTTTTTCTTTTTTTTCTTTTTTTTTTTAAAAGGCTGAATTTGGAGTTGTTGTTTTTTTTTGAGTGTTTTGTTTCATTGAATCATGGAAAGTCTAGAGACTAGGTTTATTAATTAGAAATGAAAACACTCAGGATATATATCCAAAGGGATATATAAATACCAGGAACAGCTAACATGTAACTGACAATGTAAGTGTATTCTTTTTTTTTTAATTCACTACAATTTTTTAAAATTATCTTTAAGTAGTTGTACAAAGAAGCTCCCATTCTACATACATTTTTTTTCAAGTGAGGATAAAAAATAGTACGCTTTTACACTTTGGAGATGTGGGGTGGATTTTTTTTTTCTGTTTTTTGGTGGTACGTGTGCCGAGGTTGGAATTCGGGACCACATTCCTGTAGCTAGGAGCTATACCACTTGAGTCATGCCCCAGCCCTTTCCCCTCTTATTTTTCAGGAAAAGCCTCTCATTTCTTCCTGGGCCCAGCCAGACGGTGATGCTCCCATCTCCTCTTCCCATGTCACTAGCATTTCAGAGGTGCACCGTCGTGGCCAGCACTTTTAACATAAGGGCTTGCTAAGTTTTTGCTGGGTCTGGCCATGTGTGGTTGGAATTATAGTCATGCACCATCATATCCAACCTTTTGGGTTTTCAGATGTTAAAAAAAAAAATAACAGTTTCACTTGACTAAAAATGAACTGCCTTATTATCCAGGCAGCTTCACAAGTAAGAAGTCTGTTGTTCCCGGGACACTCGGAATCAACGTTTATAAGTGGCCCGTGTGGTCATTACTGCCGTCTTCTCTCCCTGCCAGGCACAGAATCCCCAAAGAGCAGTGGTGGCTGAAACTGCGGCCCGTCATGAAGATCCTGGCCAAGTATGAGGCGAGCTATGACGTGTCTGACTCAGGCAAGCTCGAGCCCCTGCGTCCCCGGAGCGGCCACGGCCACGGGGAGCCTGCGGCCATCTGAGTGTCACGTGCGCCAACCTCTGGACCCGCACACGCATCGCATCTGGGCGGCCTGCAACGTTCCAGGGACCATTCCTGTTTTGTAATGTTTAAGTTATTTATCAGCACTTTATGCAAGTATCGTTGACCAAGTACCGTCGGCAGTAATACCTAACCAGAAAGCACCGGTCACCAGTCCCATCACCAATGTCACTCTGACACACCCTGCCACAGCCCCGTGAGGAAACCTCATCCTTCACGCACTCGATCCAGAGTCGGTCGTCTACCATGTACTGTCTCGTGCTTTATAATGTGTGTATCTAGTGGAATTAAACATTTGCCTAAAACTCCCACGCTACCTGGGTTTTTGTTTTAAGGGAATGTGATTCTTCCAAGGCTGCTTCTCGGTGGTCACTGAAAGACCTTTCACCAGTTTCGTGGGCAGAGGTCAGCAAAACATCAAAGTGTGCTAGTACAAATTCATAAAAGGAGGAAAAAAGACAATGGCTGGATAAAATAGCAACTGTAGCAGGCAGACAGTAGGCAGACATGGACTCCAGCCTGGCCTGGTAAGAGCTGAGGAGGAGGAGACTTGCCCTGGGTCAGGTCATGAGACACTGTTGATGATGCAGGTGGCTGAGCTTATGGGACTGCAGGCTCACACTCTCCATTTATTTATTTGTTATTATGCAGGTGATGTGCAGGGGTGGGGGATGTCACAGTTATACAAGTCAGGTAAGGAGTACATTTCTTTTTGAATAGTGGCACTCTTCCCTCACTTTCTCCCAGTTTTCCCCTCCTAGTTCATCCCCCCCTCCCCCGCCCCAGTTCATTTTCAGTGAATACCTAAAATGTCACTGCTGCATTTGTTCACCCTTTGTCCCACCATTTCTGTGTTCCCCCTTATCCTCCCCCAAACAGATAAGCTCACAAGCAAGACAAAAGGTACAGTAAACAAAAACCACAACAAAGGAAGGAAAAGAAACAGCAACAAAATCCCTCATCCCATTTTTTGGAGCTCATTTTGGTAAATATTTTATATGATCATACGCACATAGTTATTGATCACAAAGGCTCCATACTCTGCTTCTAAAAGTGAGACAGGGCGTACAATTCAATCGTGAAAAAAGTGTGAGCCAGGTACCAGCGGCTCACACCTGTCCTCCTGGCTACTTGGGAGGGTTGAGGCTTTAGGCTGGCTTGGGCAGAAGAATTACAAGACCCTTTCTTAACCCATAGCTGAGTACAGTGGTGCATTCTCCCCATCTGAACTAATGGGGAGCCAAGCTTGGGAGGGCTTGCAGGCCAGGCCAGTGTGAGAAGAAAGTCAGACTTTCCACGGGAGGGAAGCCATTCACGTCCCAGTTAACTGAGGCTGAAGTAGGATAACTGTGGCTCAGGTGTGCACCCAGGTGGAAAACAAGACCTATCACAAAACAGGCTCGAGGCATGGCACAGGTGGTAGAACACTTAACCCAGCAAGTGCAGGTCTCTATATTCGAACCTCAAGTACCACAAAAGTAGGCATCTTATACTCCCTTGATTCCAGTCCTATTTCACATTAAAAACCATCAAGGAGTTTTTAAGAACTTGCTACCAGCCGGGTGCTGGTGCTTCACTCACGCCTGTAACCCTAATTAGGCTGAGCTCTGAGGATCACAGTTCAAAGCCAGCCAGCCTAGTCAGGAAAATCCATGAAACTCATCTCCAATTATCCACCTGAAAACTGGAAGTGGCGCTAATGGGTCAAGTGGTAGAGCGCTCACCTTGAGCTGAAGAGCTCAGGGACAGCGCCCAGGCCCAGAGTTCAAGCCTCAGGACCAACCCTCCCTTCTCCACTCCCCCCTCCCCCCAATATCACTTCTTTAGTAAAACATAGTGACTGAAGCACAGGTACAGCAGTTGTCTTTTATTTTTAAAATAAATGTTCTAAGATTATAAAGTTTTAAATTGATAATTTATTCATATTTGGCATTTAAGACGTGATCATGTCAGTTAATTTCTTCAGCGTCATGATACTGCCTTTGTTAAAAGTTCTTGTCTAACTTGCCAGTCCACAGATACCTTTGGCCACATTTTAAGAATGACATCGTGCTGCAAGTTATGTTTTCTCCCTTTGAAATGGAGACCTGTCAAGCGCAGAGGCTTCATTCTGAAGAGCCACCCCCTTCCCCCACCACCGTGTTATGTCCTGAGTTTGAGTCCAGCCTGAGTGGTCTGCTATCAGCCATGATGGGTCACAAATACTTGTGGCCGCTATCTTATTAGCCATGATGGATCCTTGGAAATTTTCGCATTCTCTGGTCCAAGAATGGCCAGCCCATGTGTGCTCTTCCCAACACCAAGGTACCTGAAAGGGAAATGGCAAATTAGACTGTTCCCCCATGAAGCTTTTTTGTTTCTTTTCATTCCCCTCCCAATACTGGGGCTGGAACTCGGTGTCTGAGGCTAGCTTTTGCTCATTGGTTGGCACTATGACCTGAGCCACACCCCCAACCCCAAGCATTTTGAAAAGCTCCACAGGAAGTCCTCCCATTTCTGAATTCTATCCTCCTGACTGAACACAGGAAGTCACCCACACACTCACTTCTGGCTCACGGCTGTGAGTTGGTTGTGGCTCACGGCAAAGAGCTGTTCCCTGTGTGCCTGCTTCATCTCATCAGAGAGACCAAACAAGAAGTGATTCATTCCTAAAAGATAAAGCACAGGTGCACAGTAGATGGTGGGGAGATGCTCTGGGTTCTGTGCTCATACACAGTGGGGACATGGTTGGTATGGTACATTTCAGCCAGAGCATTCTTATGGTCTAGAGATACAACACCAATCTAACACCTAGCACCGGGCTCTGTGGACCTCTGCCCCAGACTGCCAAGAATAGTAGGTAAGGGTCACATAAGGCTAACAGTGTTGGGGACAGGGGCACTGTCCTGGTATGTCACAAAGCTCTTCATCTCTACCCTGCGAGTACATTATTGTGGGCCACTGCCTGGCCCACTGCTTTGCTGGGAATTATATTATTCAGGTTCTGACATAAAAGGATTTAATTCCTTTATTAGGCAAACACTGGGAGACATTTTTGTTTTTGTGTGGGTACCTGGGCTTGAACTCAGAGCCTGGGTGCTATTCCTTTTTTTTTTGCTCAAAGCTAGCCCTCTACTACTTGAGCTATGGCTCCACTTCCAGCCTTTTGTTAGTTGATAAAAGTCACACGGACTTTTCCCTTTCTGGGCTGGCTTTAAATCATGATCCTTGCATCTCAGCCTCCTGAGAAGCTAGGATTACAGACATGAGCCACTGGTGCCCAGCAAGAGGCTCTTGATTGCATGTCAAGAAGCATGTTTTTAAGGCCCGAGCTGAGGCTGTCAAATGTGACAGTTTTATCAAGAAGGACACAGATGGGAGAAAGTGGCCAACTTGCTATCTGTGGTCTATAGAAGCCAGGAACCAAGCGACTCAGAAAGCTGTGGGGGAGCTGTTTGTGAACACCATGTACTGAGCTTTTCGTGGCTCATGATACCTTTGTTAGAAGGAGCAACAGGCCCATCCACCACGGAGAACACAGACAGTTTGGCTTCGTCAATGTCCTGCTGTGTGAACTTTCCAGATTTAGCCCAGTCCACAGCCTTCCCAAAAGACTGGAGTGTTTCTATTGAGTTTGGATCCCTAGGAAATCCAAGGAAATGGTGAAACATTTTTTTTTGGTAACCAACTGAAGGAGTTATAACATTGACGTGTTGACTTAACTCTGCAACATATTCTGTTTGTTAGAAGCTCTAAAGTGAACGCTCCAAACTGCCTGCAGACAGAAGCAATCGCTCTGCAGAAATTGCATCACAAACCACAGAAACCTCAGGATTCACTGTCTACACTTGGGAAGAAGTGTGTCTACAGTGCTGGCCCCAACTGCCAGACACCATACATGACTCGCGCCCTGATTTCCTCAGGGGTGGAAGCCCCATGGGTAGAGGAGAGTCAGGAGTTGGCAAGGATGTTAGCAAAGACTCTTCATTCTTATAGGACATACTCAGAATAGGCAGGAAATTTCCCAGCCTCTCAGGCCCTTCCCTTGCGTCCATGCGAAGACCCAGCTCTGTGTGCCTGCTGTGCCTATGCTGCTCCTGCCAGTGCGAGGAGGACCTGTGGTCTCCTTGGTCCTCCTCGTCGAAGGCACAGCCAGGGTGGTGAATGGGTATGACAGAACAGGAAGCACTTGGGACAAGGAGAACTCCTTCAGTGGCAAGCTCTCGCACTAGAGCATCAGCTAGATGCATGTATGTGAAGCAGAAGAGTCTCAACCAATTAAAGATTCACTCCAGTGCTGGGGTGCAGATCAAAGGGCAGAGTGCTAAGGGCAAGGGCTCTGAGTTCAACCCCTGGTACCACAATAATAAATAAATATTCACCCTACAGTGAATGGTAACCATCTTAGGCCTATGAAACGGCAACAAAGCAGTGGCCTGTTGAGACCCCTCTCTGTGTGTACCAAACCAGCTGGGACTGAGAACAAGTAATAGTCCTGAACACGATGGTGCTGTCCTGACGGGTGGAGGGGGGGGGGTAGCTAGGGGCTCAAGTGAAACCAGCAAGCAGGAGAAATGTTTCCTCTTTTCCTCACGTCACCCCCCACCCCACTCACAGGAAATGGCCCTGTGATAATTAATACAGCCAGCGACGGTGAGATGCTGTGTGTTCCCACAGGTGAGAGAGTGAAGAGACAACTTGCCTGTAGGAGTAGAGAGTAAAAATCCCATTGTAGCTGAGTTTGGCACCTCCACCGTAAGCGCCCCCTTTTTCTCGAATTTCTGTGTGCAAGAACTTTGAAGTCATCAACCTCGCAAGGATCTTAAGACTGAAATTAAGGGTTAAAAAAAAAAAGAAGTCAAAAACAACATGGCTGATAAGAAAGCACTGCAAATCACATCATCCCAAGAAACATGTGAATAGAATGAAATGAAAACGAAAATAAAATCGACATGGAACATATTAATACTAAATATACCCTAACAAACATCATAATCAATCACAAATCAGAAATATTTGATCGCAAGCCATTCACAAATTGAAAATATTGTTAAACGCACCGGTATGAACATGTATGAACTTTTCTTTGCTGAAACATCATGCTGTCACAGTGTAAGGACTATGCAAATAGTTGTAATTGTAAGTAGCGTAGAGATGAATGGGGCATGTGTATAGGTTCTGTAAATATACTATGACACTGTACATAAGGAATTTAGTATTTGCAGATTTGGTATTTTCAGGAGTCTCTAAAAAGCATCCCCAGGGATACTGGATGATGACTGTATCTCAGTCAGTTTTTCTTTCTCTTTTTTTTGGTAATAAAAAC